ATCAGCGCGGCGCTTTACGACCACCTTTATAAAAGTGGCAAACATTAGATTTATAATTTACTTGAGTCAAAATTTTAATTGTACATGTTGGATTCGGTTTTTGTTCTGGGACCCTCTGCATACCTGAATGAGAAGCACTGCAGTGTAGTGCATGTAGAATTAGTGCCCCGAGGCTCGAGCAAATACAGATCAATAACATCTATATAGAGGTTCAAAGTGCACACGTTTCTCGATTTAGAAACCACTTATACAAATCATATCGGTCTAAAAATAGACTTCTTTTATAGGTGGTATATCATAGAGCATATATGATGATAGTAGAAACTGTTGACTTTGTATTAATAGCTGTCCTTTATCGCTAATAACGGCTGCCTGGCTGATAAGCTTTATCTTCAATAGTGTCAATGTACATACATGTATGGTAAATGGGTAACGAAAAAAACCCAAACAAAAGTAAAGTGAAGAACATACTCATAATATATTACTCCTATTATATTGAATGTATACAAATATCATGTAAATATAATTAAAACGAAGACATCGTTATGCGAAGAAGTAGATTTTAAAAAAAGATACTCAACACGCCAAGCAAACACGCACAAATCGGTTGAGAACGTAATGGTGAAACACATTTTCGCACTTAAGGCTTAGTCAAGTTAAGATACTGTAGAGTATAGGTATACATATATATGTGTGTGAGACAGAGAGAGAGAGAGAGAGAGAGACAGAAACAGACAGCCAGAGAGAGAGAGAGAGAGAGAGACAGACAGACACAGAGATAGAGAGCTAGAGAGAGAGAGAGAGAGAGAGAGAAAGAAAGGAATTGGATGAGAGAAATAATTTCGGAGCTAACAAACTCTGTGTAACTCCTTTTTTTCCATTTTCTTCTGTGGAAATAACTGCAAATGTTGGTAAAGCTGTATAATATGGACATGTTGTGTTCCCATACATTATCAATGGCAACTCTTGCGGGAAAAAGGAACAAACTGTACGAACCAAATCAGATTAGATGAGTAATTAGCTGAGCTATGTATCAATTCATCTTCCAAACTGGCTTCTTTTTGGGGGGAAATACTGCATAGGCTGCAAAAACTGTCCGAGCCTAGAATTTCTTGCCGAGACAGTGTTTGCACGCACAGTTTTTTAAAATAACCAAACCGAAAGAAAATTGAAGAAGAAAAAAAAAGATGAGAAAACGAGCAGAGTCATTGTGGTAATAAAAATCAATATCTTTGTCTAAAAATAGCTCTGTCTGTATCCCGGGGTTATAATTGAGATTAACGACAACACATTCCTTATTATTTATTCATTCATACTCAAATATTGATACAGAGTGTAGCGTTTACGTGTTGTAAAAATGTTGGGGGAGAAATTAGATTACCAAACAATAAGGTTATGAAATACTCCATGATATCTTAGACGTAAGTACGAAAACGAGCATGATGTGACGTATCCATGACAATACTATTTACTTTAATACAACTCACGTCTGGTTCCTAAAAGGGATCGTTTAACAATGTTAAATCTGAGATGCACGGCCCTACGTGTTATCAGTGTCTGTGATATGGTTTTATATCGAAGCCTTGACAAAAATTGCGCTTCAAAATTATCAAGAAGCGCCTCAAAAAGTAAAAACCTTTGAGTGACCGGTTTTACAATATTCGTTTCCACAATAGACTGTAGTGTTATGAAAACCGTTTGACAAACGCAACATTTGATTTCAATTTAAATCATAAATATCTTGATAATCAGACAGGCGATCGGCTTGTAAAAGTCATGGGGTTCAAATGATTGGTGGTCAAACGTGTCCACGTATGATTCCTTGGCTTAGACTAGCATATCTTTTTTTTTTATTTGCGTGCATAGTTTCAATAGTTTCCAGTACTGTCCAGCGATAATGACACGAAACAATCTTGAAATGATTTTTTTTTTAAATATGAAATAACAAGGATCTAGGAGTTTCGTTTTATATTAAAAAAATTGTGCAAATTTTCTTTTGAATATTAATACAGGACTTATCAGCTATTGATGAAGCTTTTTATGCACCTATCATACTCAGCCCTACGGCTTCTAACTAGAGATTCATACAGCTTCAACCCAAATGCTGTTAGGTCGTATAATGTACTCATTCGAATGCATCATCTGTGTACCATCCAGAGATATCATCAAACCAGTCGACGGACCAAAGGCTGGTATAGCAACACTCATTCCTAGTCCAGCAATACAGACGTTCCTTAAGTTAGTTACTGTGACAAGCCCTAAAACAAGGTTGTTTTATTAAAACTAGTTGATTCATAGAAGAAATAGATAAAAGAGGTTTTAAGGAAAATAAAAGAGTAAACAATATAATGACATCTGATCGTGGAAGACAATTTTGAGTTCCAGTCGTCAAAATGTGATGTCATCAACTTTTGTTTTGCTTTACCATTTGTTTCATCAATCATTTCCTGTCTCGTATTTCGGGGAATTAATTTCCTCCCGACTTTGCCCAAGCCATATTGATTTCAATGCGATTACCTTATGCATATCCGAATTTAAAACATATATTGGTATACATACATACATATTAACAAAAAAGCTTTCATGAATAATTTGTTTACAAATTAGATATATTGTATAGGTATACATAAATTTATGTTATACAAATTTGTGTATGCTGTCTCTCTATTGTTCTGTCTTAAATCAAATAAAGCTTGTTGTTACGAATGGTCAGCCCTTAAATTTGATAGTCTTGCGATTCAATATGAGACTGCTTCAGGTATAAAAAGACGACTGTTTTGATTTAGGTTGAGTAGGAAATGTAGTTTCTCACAATTATGAACCCAGTGCACCACTTCACTGCTTCTGTATTCTGTTCTGTGTAAAGCGCATAGAGATCTTCAATTTTGTCTATGGGCTTATTATTATAATTAAAGTTTTACGGAAAAAATTATAAAAGCTAGCGATATCAAACTTTAACTATAACGGGAGTCTATGAGATCAATTTTTTTTTCTTCAATCCTTTAATTGGCTTGACTATACCGATCGGGTGTGCAATCAAGTTATAGAAGAAGACAAAAGAAGGCACAAAATCATTCAAGCTTCTAAAATATCCATTAAGGAGACTTTTCGTTACATTTCTTTAAAAAGTAGCTGCACAGTGCAAGATTGTACTTTTTATCTAGTAAACATAAAGTAATACAAAGGGTCTTGTATTTACTGTAATTGGAGTCTTCATATCCTTGAATAATGTAATTAATAGAGTAATTATGAAAAGTATGTTGACATTAATTCACAGAACAGCGAAGAGACGAAGGTAACAAAAGACTAAATACAGAGAAATTATTAGTGAATGTTCTTCAGAAAACGACAATGTGGTTTACCTCGAACGGTGCAGGTACTTTAAGGGTTATTGAAACCCAAGCATCTTTGAGGACCAGCATTTTCTCTAGGTCCAAGGGATGAGAATATAAAAGATATGAAAACCGTTAAGCGTAATTAACTAAAGCCATCCAGGTTAACTCAAGGTGATTTTACAATAATGTCTTGAAAAGTGGACTTACGCCGAGGAAACTTGATGGTACCTGGTACGCTGCATGAGCATAGCTAAGGGGAGGCATGGGGGTAAGACTCCCCATCGCAAAACAAAACAAAAAAGGAGAGAAAGAGGAGAGGTAAGGACTATAAAGTAGGGAGTAAATGAAGAGGAAAGAAGGCGATGGGACGCCTCCCACTATTCATATTCAGTGGCATTTTGAATACGCATTTCATTCACCTAATAATATAGCCCCTATGTTGCCAGTGCCCTTTTCATGCCTTGGTAAAGGCTGTGTTACTGAGTCTATTATGTCATCACCCCCTTACTACAGCACGTTGTCGGACATGAGAAAGGTATACATGACACCAGTTAGACCACATAGAATTCAGACTTATGTCATAACTGTATTTGGCTTCAAGCTACACCAGTTGGTTAGTCATATTAACAGCAGAAGACTAAAAGGAGGCTCTATCAATGGTTCCCATCTCACTCCCTCCTCGATACAATGCATGCATCCATCCGGTGTTCTTTCCTGTAAAGGACGGGTTGCTATGACAACGGGAGCACTTGGATGCTCACTCCAGCATGGGGGGAAGGGAGGAATAAGAATGTGGTGATGATGAATGGAATGAAATGAAATACCATGGCTCCTTCCAGGAATGATGATGATGGATTGCATCATATATATCTTATGCCACATTTTCACACCACTTTCTCTCACCGCATTCTCTCTGCTAAATGCGTACACCGATGCAGTTCAGGGGACCTTTCTGTGTTAGATTAAAAGGTCTCATGCATTTTAAATCGAATTTGTAATATTTTCCTTGTTTCAAACTCCCCGCATATCGCACACACACACACACACACACACGCACCCACACGCACACACGAACATCTGCCCTACGCTAACCCACACCCACACTATATAGAGCAAACTGTTGTATGACCTTATGGGAATGAATATGGTAGAAATGTCCTGCAGCATTTATTATTCAGTTCTGGCATTTTAATACCCGTCTTTCACACATGGCTCGCCTTCGTCAGCCATTGTTCGGCAGAGCTATAAATAACTGCATGCTATTATACACGGCTTTGAAGAATTTTCATACATGCAATTACCTTTTCTTATCAAAGATCAATAGACCTTTTGCTCATATACATCGGTGATAAAATATGTATATATATTTTTAAGCCGGACTCTCCACCATCTATCTCTCTCTCTCTCTCTCTCTCTCTCACTCACTCATTACGGTGCCCACATATTTATATTTATCGTTCCCCTTGTCTCTCTCTCTCTCTCTCTCTCTCTCTCTCTCCCTCTCTCTCTCCCTCCCCCTCCCCCTCTCTCTCTCTTCACAAGTTTATCTGCTGCTATTCTCGGCACATGCTTATGCAAATGCGCATATAGAGCGTGGTATATAGTAGAGTCCACCACATTCGAGTCTCCGTCAAAGTTGGCCGGGCTGCCAAGCAGGCATCGACTATATAAAAAGAAAAACCTCCCAGCGCAGTGCCTGGCTTTACCCAGCTTCTGGCTATGCCCTCATACTCTCATAGATCATTTAGGAAGGTAAAGTCTATTTTCGGATCCTGGGGAAATATAATCGATTGCAGGAGCTGGCTAAACTGGCTGCTTTGCCAGCAATCTTCTGTCTATCCATACTCGACCGCGGTGGTGAGTGGAAGCGCTATACTTTCTATTTTCAAACTACCGCTATATTTTCTTCCCTCGCTGAAGCATCCGCTATCGGCTGTCATAACAGTGGAGGACGTTGGGCACGGGTAGTACACCTCGATTAATCACCAGCTCTGGATTTAACCGGAATGACCAGAGGTAAAGTAATTTGTTTGTACTTCTGTTTATTTCATTTCGTGTGTGTACATACATACTGTTTTAATGTTTAGGGTCGATTCATCTCGTGAACGTTTGTTGGTTATTGACAGTTCATTTCAAATCAATTCAATTTAATAAAGGTTTATTCGAACATGTTTCGCAGTACAAAGACTGAATTATACTTGTATTACAAAGATTTAAATACATTATAAATACAAATTGCGATTGTGAATAAAACATATTGAATTATATACCAAATTATATTAAGTGCTTTACATTGATAAAATGATAGGTATTGAATGTCAATTAGCATTTTAAAAGATGTCGTTAAAAGGTATTATTAATGCATATACAATTAAAAGATGATTCAATTCCCGCTATCAATGGAAAATATTGCACGATAACAAAGTAAGAGGTCAAGGAGAAAGAAGGATAAATAGTGAAAGAGATAGATAGATAGAGAGAGAGAGAGAGAGAGAGATAGGAAAACAGAGAGAGAGAGAGAGAGATAGGAAAACAGAGAGAGAGAGAGAGGGGGAGGGGTAAGGAAGAAATACAAATTGGGATGGAGAAAGAGTACAGTATGGTAAACGTATAAATATATAAAACAAGAAGCAGTGATTTGATAGCAACATCATAAACATTTAAAAACAGGTCAGAGTATCACGAAAGTGATGGATGATTATTACAAGCTTTGATTGGCATGATGATCATTGAGTATACGTGTGGGATTATGAAGGGCACTGTTTTGGAATCTCTAAGTTAGGCAAGTAAATTCTTGATATTTTTTGACATTTCGTAAGTTGAATTTGTTAGTTTTCTTTGATGTAATCCTGGTTATGATTGTCATTCTTATACATTATTAAGGGAGAGGGATTCTCACATAATGTTTAGGAACGTTGAAATGCGGCCTTTAACACATGATTTATTTATATTAAAGATTTTGCTAATTAAAAACACAAACTGTTGTTGATGATTCATCTTCATAGGCCTTAAGATGTCGTACTCAATTCGAAATAATTATAGGAAATTAATGGCAATGTTTGCATGCATTCCCAAATGATATTAATTTGGGCCTGAAATAATTTCAGAATAATTAGGATCCTCGATTTATTTGGCGCAATATGTGGTATTCATGACATGAGTTGTAGATTGCTTGCCCTTAAGCAATCTGTGCGCATTCTCCACTCCCTGGGTAGCATTCCATCAACTCGGTACTTTCAGGCAAGCATAATGCTGACCAAATCATATTGACGCTCATATTCCTGTCTGGTATCCATTTATATACCTAGGTGGGAAGAGGCAATGTTGATAAAATGCAAGTTTCTGTTTAAATGCATGTTGATCTACATAAATTATCCATATGGTTTAATGTATTCATCTTCAATCGAGCATTGCAAATTTAAAACTCAGTACATTGTAAATACTATAATGTGTACCATTCAAAAAAAGTATTGCACAGCAAGGCAGTTTTCTAACAAGATTTTGTTTATTGCTGTGTTTGATTTTGAAGAACAGAACACATCATCTTAATAATGAATTGTTAAAAACTTTTAAAATAAAAATCAATGCATGATAACGTAGACTACATAAATCTATTAAATAAAAATGACTGCCTCGTAGCTTGTATAGAGATATAAGCGATTGAAGAAATGCAACGTTTACTTATTACAAAATCCTGATATATGTGAAACCTCATCACACCAATAGATATCAGCAGATACCAGAAAATATTCCACATTTAAAACATATGTCATTCTAGTATAACATGTAGTATGTTAATCATAACGATTTCTAAAACTGGCTATCAAATTGAGCATCTGTAACCAGCAAAATTAAATTGATTAAAAAGGAACTTAGTCAATCAAAGTGAAGGGGGGGGGGGGTCGACACAAACAGCTTTTCCCCCTTTAAAATCTAAATCAGCACACCTTCAATTGACATGCTCCTCAACTGTGCACCCTATTAAAGTGTAGACCCTAAAATGCACCATTATTTGTTCGATTTTCTTTTTCTCTTTGCTCTTCAGATAGTTTGCTAATAATTATGGCCATTTTAACACAATATTCTTGATCCGCCCCTTCAAATATGCAGAGCCCCATACAATCAATAAATAATCACTAAATACCCAGGGAAGTCAATATTTTCCCTTTTTGTCGAAATATTTAACTTTTAATGGTCTTCTTATTCCTTTATTGATCAAATATTTTCAGTATTTATATAAATAGCCCTCCTATTCTCTTCTGTATTCTCTATTCATCCTGCAACAAATATAGTTTATAGTATATAGTGACCGTTGTCCAGATAACAGAGTTTATTAAAATACTGAGGAGGCGTAGACAAAGAGAAAGAAAGAGAGAGAGAGATAAAAAGATAGAGGGAGAGATAAAGATAACGAGAGAGAGAGAGAGAGTGAGAGAGAGATAAAGAGAGAGAGAGAGAGAGAGAGAAGCGCTAGTGGCAGGGAAAACGGGATAAAAGAAAGACGAGGACAGAGACTATGTCTGCACGCGTCCGTGTGGTAGAAGTAAACAAATAATCGTAAATAGGATTAGCAATAATTTTTCACCTGTTTCATTTTGCACTCGTAACGAATACAGCAGTGTCATAAATAAATGTGTACCTTCGAGTGTCAATTAACAGCGTGCTATTACTTTCTCGAGTGTATTTCCATGATAATTCGTCCTTGTTTTCACGAAGTGACGGTAGTGAGGAAAATCGTAACGCAAAGTGAATGCAATTTTTTTTCACTACCGTCACTTCGTGAAAACAGCGACGAATTAGGGATCCTTGAAATCTAAGAAATATGTAACAGCCTTAAACTGTAAAAAATTACTTTCATTCTCAACGGAATTTCAGGAGATGGGGTAAATCTTGAATAAAGTTTGTATGAACAGCATAAATTCACTACTTGATCGAATCAGAAGAAAAAAAAAACCCATTTATATCCATTCTTTTCAAGAGGTCGAATTGAGGTCGAATTCTTTCTGTTGAAAAATTATTTTTAATAAACTATTGAAATACAATAACATCGCTTTAATTCCATAAAATGTCATGATCAAGACGTCCTAATATAACCAGGCTTATATAAACAAGAAAATGGTATGTTAGATAACTCTTGTTAGCCTACTTTCACCCAACCTTCGTAGCAGAGAGTTCACCATGGATCGATCGATCCCTATACAGCGCTGTAGCACGCAAGGTCATTAGCACACTCTATCATCTGGACATTATATTGGTTGCTATGTTACATACTACCTTTCCAATTCACCGTTGCCGGGGAAGGGGGATATTTATAGGCGATATAACTCGTCCAGCTTAAGCCCCACAATTTGATAACCTTCGGCCATTATCATAATCATTATGACATTAAGGGTAAATATCATCTGTATACATTTCTTGTCTGGCTGAAAGACGTTCGGAATGAATAAATATGGATGATTGAACGATGAGAACGTATTTGGAATATGATTGTAACTCGATATAGGATTACGTGGATGGGCATACGGTGAGATTAAATGAGGGAATGCGGAGGGCCAGAGATGGAGGGAGGGAGGGAAGGAGAGAGAGAGAGAGAGAGAGAGAGAGAGAGAGAGAGAGAGAGAGAGGGAGAGAGAAATAAAGGGGAAAGGGGTTGAGAGGGATGGGCTGCTACGACAAGAGTGAGATATCTTTTTTCCCGCTTCAAATATATTTGTAAATTAATAGTCTAGCCTGAATAAACGTCCAGTAAATGAATGTATACTTATAAGGGTGTGTAAAGGATAGATAGCAAGAGAGGGAGAGAGAGGGGTGGAGAGAGGGAGAGAGAGAGAGAGAATGAAAGGAAGGCAGTTGGAAAGGAGAGGGGTGCTGCGACTTTACGAAAACGTGTCCTCTTCTCCACTTGCTTCAAATATTTGTATATTATTAATAGACAATGACACATGATAAACATTACATCCAGCTTAATGTATGTACATAAGGGTGTCGGTGGGAAAGAATGATTGAGAGATATGAACAGACGGAGAGAGAGAGAGAGAGAGAAAAGGGGGGGGGGGGCAAGAGGGAGGATGCAGGAAGCTTTGCCAGCTAACTGGCCACATTAACATTTCTGATTCTATATCAAATTTACAAACCAGCTCAATTCCATAGTTAATTATATAAAATAATGATACACATTCAAATAAAGTACATTATTTATCGACCTTTCATGGCTTTAGCCGAGCTACCATTATGAGACAAAATTAAAGAAATGTAATTTTTAAAAAACCCCAGAAATACCTCACCTGGGTCAATAGTGGCAAATTTCAGATTAATGCTTCCCCGAAGATATTCGTGCCGTATCAATGATTAGAACCACCTACCATGTGATCCACAGTTTGCAGAGTTACGACGGCACGGAAATTTTGAAATACGCACACGCACATACACACAAAACCTACGCGCACTCACGCACACATAACCCCTTTACTCTTACTAATGATCTTGCACTAAAAGTGGTATCATAGGAATACACAATTTAAAAAAAGGTAAGCGTGAATTTCAATCCAAATTCATCAGACGTTAGGACACTTCTTATCCAACACTTTAATAGTGAACATGCGTTGTAACAGCAGGAAGCCATTGAGGAGGCACTGGTATGGTTTGTGTGTGTGCGTGTGTGTGTGTGTCTGTGTGTAAGGGGGAGGGGGGCTGCATCGGTCTTACTGTAGCTCCGCCCCTGCCTTGTCATAAACAAATGGTAAATTATAAATGGTGATGTATTGAAGCGTCAGAAGCATAAAAAAATGACGATTTATAGCTCTGTGCGAGACTTCGTTATCCTTTATAAATCTGATCAAATCTGATCAAATCACATAATAAGAAACTATTACCATCACTTACAATTTAATTAAGCTTTACGCTCTAAAATGCCTACTATGGTGGGTAAATTTCCCCGAGCAAATGCTTCTTATTTTGACTCAAAGATTCCATTTGACCCAACATTGGTTTCTTTTTTGCGTGTGTGTCTTTTGCAT